TTTACCCGTCCCCAACCCTTTGCTATACACTTTTCTATACGGTACCCATCCCCAGCCCCACTCCATAAAGTTTTCTATACTTTACCCATCCCCAACCCTTTGATATACACTTTTCTATACTTTACCCATCCCCAGCCCTTTGCTATACACTTTTCTATACTTTACCCATCCCCAACCCTTTGCTATACACTTTTCTATACTTTACCCATCCCCAACCCCCCACTACACCCAATCCCCCCTCCAGTCTCTCCCACCCCTCTCCCCCCCGCAGCTTTCCCCGCTCCCATCCCCCTCCATCCCCATCCCGGGCCTCTCCCCGCTCCCTCGCCGTCCCGTCCGTACCGGACCAGAGCAGCAGCTTCCCGTGCGCCTCCTCCTGCGAGGCGGAGTCGGTGGCCAGCAGCGTGGAGGTGGCGGCGTAGGGCAGCGCGGAGCCCAGGCAGGCTCCGAAGCGGAGGCGCTCGCAGGGCGCGGGGCGGCGGCAGCGCGGCGGCCCGGCCGAGGCGTTGTGGGCGGCGGGGCAGCGGCCGCCCAGGGCCAGCGCCAGCGCCAGCGCCAGCGCCCAGCGCCGCCCGCCGCCGCGGCTCGGCCACATCGCGGCGGGGCTTTAGGGCGGCTGGCAGCGGGCAGAGGGGCCCGCCATGGCCCCGCCGCCTTTGTTGGGCTGGCCGGGAGCGAGCGGAGCGGCCCCGCTGCTGCTCCTCCTCCTCCGCCGCCGCCGCCGCCCGCGGCCCGGCCCGGCCCGCGCCCCCCGCCGGGGCGGGCTGAGGGAGGGGGAAGCGCCGCGGAGGGCGAGGGACGCGGCTCGTGACGGGAGAGGCGCTGGAAGGTGAGGGGAAATGATGTTTGTGGGGAGGAAGGAGGCTCCTTTGTGAGGGAAAAGTTCCTCTCGCGAGGAAAGAGGCGCTTTGGGCCAGAAGTTTCCTTTTTCTGAGGAAAAGTTCCTTTTTGTGAGGGAAAGTTCCTTTTGCTCAGGGAAAGTTCCTTTTTGTGAGGAAAAATTCCTTTTTATGAGGAAAAAGTGGCTAAAAAGTGAGGAAAAAGTCTTTTTTTGGGAGGAAAGAGTCTCCTTTTGTCAGGAAAATCTTCCTCTCCTGAGGAAAGAGTAATTTTCCTCAGTCAGGAAAGGCCAGGAAAAGTTTCCTTTTTCTGAGGAAAAGTTTCCTTCTTGTGAGGAAAAATTCCTTTTTATGAGGGAAAAAGTCGGTAACAAGTGAGGGAAATGCTTTTTTTTCTTTGTGAGGAAGGAGTCTTTTTGTGAGGGAAAAGTTCCTCTTGCGAGGAAAGAGGTGCTTTCAGTCAGGCAAAGTTTCCTTTTTCTGAGGAAAAGTTCCTTTTTGTGAGGGAAAGTTCCTTTTGCTCAGAGAAAGTTCCTTTTTGTGAGGAAAAATTCCTTTTTATGAGGAAAAAGTGGCTAAAAAGTGAGGGAAATGCTTTTTACTTTTGAGAGGAAGGAGTCTCCTTTTGTGAGGGAAAAGTTCCTCTCGCGAGGAAAGAGGGGCTTTCGGCCAGGAGAAGTTTCCCTTTTTCTGAGGAAAAGTTTCCTTTTTGTGAGGAAAAATTCATTTTTATGAGGAAAAAGTGGCTAAAAAGTGAGGGGGAAAGCCGGTAAAAAGTGAGGGAAATGCTTTTTTTTAGGGAGGAAGGAGTCTCCTTTTGTGAGGGAAAAGTTCCTCTCGCGAGGAAAGAGGCGTTTTCGGTCAGGAGAAGTTTCCTTTTTCTGAGGAAAAGTTTCCTTTTTGTGAGGAAAAATTCCTTTTTATGAGGAAAAAGTGGCTAAAAAGTGAGGGGGAAAGTCGGTAAAAAGTGAGGGAAAGGCTTTTTTTTAGGGAGGAAGGAGTCTCCTTTTGTGAGGGAAAAGTTCCTCTCGCGAGGAAAGAGGCGCTTTCGGTCAGGAGAAGTTTCCTTTTTCTGAGGAAAAGTTCCTTTTTGTGAGGAAAAATTCCTTTTTATGAGGAAAAAATGGCTAAAAAGTGAGGGGGAAAGCCGGTAAAAAGTGAGGGAAATGCTTTTTTTTAGGGAGGAAGGAGTCTCCTTTATGAGGGAAAAGTTCCTCTCGCAAGGAAAGAGGCGCTTTCGGCCAGGA